GCTACAATACAGTTGATTCAGAGTGCTTACAAAGTTAGCTTGTTGTAGACTAAAGGGGCGTTCACACCGGACTTAACTTTGGCGTCAAAAGCGTCAGGTTTGCATTGAAAGTGAATGGTGAAGCGCGTCAGGTGAAGCCGAGAGCCCCGGCGTCACTTGGCACGCGTCAAAAGCTTCAAAAGTCGCGCGTACTACGCGCTCACTTGAAGCTTTTGACGCGCGAAACGCTCGCGTATCACAACAATCCCTTTGACACCAAAGTTGAGCAAAGCTGAGCTTTTGAAGCTTTGACGCAGGCTTCAACCAATCAGGAGACGAGGAGCAGCAGCAGCAGAGGGTCTGTCTCTGTCATGAAGAGAAGTCATGTATCTGCTGCTGCTGTTTTATTGTCATTATTGTTATTAGTAACATTATTTGTATGAGTAGTAACGTTCTGAGTAACAAAAATCATTGTACACATGCTGTGTAGTAAACGTAGTTTATTTAAAATAAGAACAGGCTGACGATGAGTCTGGCTCAGAGCAAGGCAGCTCCGGGCGGGCGAGAGCCGGGGAGAGGCAGGGAGAGGCGAGCGAGAGCCGGGGAGATGCAGGGAGAGGCGAGCGAGAGCCGGGGAGAGGCGAGCTCCGGGGTTTGAGAACTCAGACTGGGCGAGTGACATGCGGAAGTACCGCTGAAAGCGAAACTCCTCCGTACGCAGCTCCGGGAGTAAATGACAGAACTCTGCAAACACTGCAGCCTCTCAAGTCTGTGGTGAACCCAGAACATGTTTTGTTGAAGCCCTACAACAACGTTATTTTGCTTTATATAACAAATAAAGGCTCGCTGCTCATTGAAAAATCCATCGCTGTCCTGACTACAGACAACAGAGAAGCTCCTCCCACAGACAACAGAGAAGCTCCTCCCACCGGCGTCAGGCGGGTCACTCGCGTCAAAAGCTTCAAGCACCAAAATGACAAAACTATCCCGGCGTCAGTTGAAGCGCGTCAAAAGCTTTTTGAAGCTTTTGGTCTGAACGCGCCTTAATACGTGGATTTATCAAAGGTTAATGCAAACAGAGCGCAGAGCGATAACAATCAAAACACGGTCACCGAACATACGGATTTAGACTTACCACAATCCTTTATAAATGAATAAAACAGTCTTGATACAATCACAGATTTATTAAAAACAAAAGCAAAGTGCAAAACCAACAGTTTACAAAGTCTAAAGTACGTATGTTTCTGAGACCAGGTCCAGATGAGGAGTTACTCCGGTCACTCATTGCTCGTTGGTAATCTCCACACTTAAAGGACAACTCACCCTCAAATCCACTTTTTTTTGCTGATAAACGGTATAAATGAGTGTCCAATAGTGTTGTCTACATATCCTGATCATAATCTTGTCACTTTGGTGCAAATTAGTTGAAAGTTAAACTTTCTGCCTAAAACCGTCTGTGAGGCGCCATCTGCTGGCGACCTGTATTACTACATTTGAATTTTGAATCTGGCGCCAACACTGGCGCAGCAGCAAGACCTGAAGTCTGAAGCAAGACCTGACGTCAGCAGCCCTCCGCCCAGAGCAATGTAAACGGCCCAGTCTCGTTCACGCCCCCTTTAGTCCTCCAGGCTACGCCCATTTAGAGGAAGATTTGAACAGGAAATGTGAGTAACGTAAGCTCCGAGGAGCGGGGGTGAGAACCACTTTAAGGAAAGGGATTCTCAAACAAATATACACACGACAACTTAAGTTTAAAATCCTTCTCTTAGCATATAAAGCCATAAATGGCTTGGCTCCTTCCTATCTCCATGACACGTTAGTGTCGTATCAAACAAGTCGAGCGTTGCGCTCACAAAACGCCAGACGTCGGCGGCAGAGCGTTTAGCTACCAAGCTCCTTTACTGTGGAATCAGCTTCCCATTTATGTTAAGGAAGCAGATACGGTCTCCACATTCAAGGCCAGGCTTAAAGCACTCTACTTTAATTTAGCATATAATTAGGTAATATATAATATATGGTGTATATATTATATATATATATGCTGTATTATGTTATATATTATACAATATATGTATTATGTTATGTATTGTGTTATGTTGTATATTATGTTATATATTATGCTGTATGTTATGTTGTGTATTATATATGATATATATGGTATGGCTAGTTTTAAAACAGTCCTCTTTAGTTTAGCATATGGCTAGGAAGGTAAGACTCAGGGAAGGCTAAACTCCTTAGAGTGTTAGTCAAGCTGCATAGGGAGTCAGTTTGCTGGGAGAAGTCTGGTAACTTGAGCACTATCCTCTCCTCCTTCCTACTTTATCTGTTTAGCATTATTAGGATTTTGACTGTAGTTTGTTCAATGCTATTCACCCGTTGTCCCATTGTCTGTTTCATGGTACGATGACAGGATCTCTGAGCCTGGCCTCTTCCATCTACACCTGCGGACTGCCCCGCCCGACCCGCCTGGGAATGCTTCAGTCCTGCACCGGACCTGTCCACGTTCAGCGGCCACTGGTCCACGTTCTGTAGCTAGCTTAGGTCCTAGATCATTAGTCTGTCCGTCCGGAGGAGCGGATCCCTTTCTCAAATGGGTCTCCCTTCTTCTGTGTGTGCTCACTGTGTACAAAAGACAATCGAACATTTACACGATTAAATACATTTCAGTGAGAGCTTTGGGCCAACGGGAAACGTAGCCGTTATTTCCAGGATTACCACAGACTAGTCACAAATCCAGAGCAATCTCCCTGAAAACTGTGTTGAGCCTCGAGCTGCCTTTGAATTCTTTATTTCGGCCTGAAGAGAGGAACGTGTGGACCTTGTCCACCGATCAGGACGCTGACTTTTGGGGCTTTCCGTGCGATTCCATTTCTCTGGAGTGAGAAGAACGTAATGTAGCCAAAACAGAGCCGAGCAGAGCGGCCTGTTTTAAAGAAGGCGGTTGAGTTGTTTTTCCCAAAGGGTCAGATGTCACTTCCAGTGACGACACTTGTTGACCAATCGGCGTAAGGCAGTCGGCCAACGTCACGTCATGGTATCGGTACGGCGCAGATGGAACCGCAGTCGAGGTGGTGCAAAAAAAGTAACGCAAACTCCGGGACTATGACTAGTGGAAATGCAAAATAACCGCGCCGTACCGTTCCGAAACGAACCGTACTGATACTGTGGAAAAGTGGCATAACAGACTGTGGTAGTGAGTTCCTCTGGTGCCTCTAACAGACCAGGCAGACTGACTGAAGGTGCTCTTACGCAGAGGGATCACACGGTCGCCTCTCACGGAGCCTCTAGTGAGCCGCTCACTACTGTTCCTTTGACTTATTAGACCCACGAGTGGAGCGGGACCCAAAGTACGAGTCGCTTTATACATTAAGCGTAGATTTGAAAATGTATGAAGATCTGGCCAATTTAGAAAGGAATACTTTTCCAAAATTAAACAGTGATGATAACATTTTGGCTTTTTATCCATTACTTTGATGGCTTGCTTATATGAGATCTCTAGTGGTCTTAAAGTAGTCTGATTAGCTTGACTCCAGCGTGTTAAGCGATAATTTAAAATTAATAAAAATCATTGAGTCTAGAAAAAAGTTTTGCGCCCTCAGTTGACATTTCATATCTGATAGATCTGAAAATTGTAAGATTAAATTTGATTGTTTTACACATCAAAATGTTTTTTAAAAGTGAGATGTGAATCGATCACCAGTCCAAGATTATTATGCTGAGGGACAGACTGAAGCTTTTTCCCTTCAATATAAATCACCGGATCTTCAGAAGCACTCTTAGTTTTCCTAAAAAACATGGAGACCGTTTTGGAAACATTAGAAGCAGCAGTCTTTCCTCTCTGCACCCTACACTACACCTCCTCCTCTCTGCACCTACACCTCCTCCTCTCTGCACCTACACCGCCTCCTCTCTGCACCTACACCTCCTCCTCTCTGCACCTACACCGCCTCCTCTCTGCACCTACACCTCCTCCTCTCTGCACCCTACAACTCTCTAATTCTTCTGATAAACTATGAGGGGTAATGACATTATTAAGACCTGTCCAATGAGATTTAGATGAATCTAAAAGTCTAAAAATAGAACCCTTGTGACGTCACATCTCCACCTCCTCTGTGCTCCTTCACTCTCTGTGGCAGAGCGCCCCCCCGCGTCCAAACGCTGTGCTGCAGGTGCGCGGCAAAGGGGTGGAGACACCAAACCAAATCTCAGGGAAGAAAATTCAAACGCTCTTCCTGGAAACGGTAGAAACGCGCCACAACTTCACCACATGACACTTCCAAAGAAACTGCGACACACATTCACATGAGCGGAATCTCCCAGGTTCCCCCTCCCCCCGGAGCCTCGACCCCCCCTCTACATGTGCCACTTTTGGCACACGGCAGAACCCGCGCGTACAGAGGCTGAGGAATGAGACATGATGAGAACCAGACCTGTTCCCGTAAACTGACATGACATCACCCACCCCTACAACATGATACATGTATCAGCACAACACAGGAGACTAACACATACATAACATATATAATATAAGTACAGGGTGTGTGGAGCTCGGACAATGTTACAACAGGCGCATACGCAGCTCTGAGTTTGGAGGAGGTGAAGATGTGACAGGCTCCTGCTGCTGCGTGTGAGTGACATACGCACATACGTGTTCTCTCACCTTCTCCTGCTGCTGCTGAAGAGAAACCAGAACCAGGCCCACAGTCTCTCTCGATGGCGCGAAGTGACGCAGCAAAGACCAACAGAACCAGAGACCAAGACCAAACTGCTCCATCCACACGTACAAGTCCAGAGTCCAGGCCACAGGAGCACACGTACAAGTCCAGAGTCCAGGCCACAGGAGCACACGTACAAGTCCAGGATCCAGACCACAGGAGCACACGTACAAGTCCAGGGTCCAGACCACAGGAGCACACGTACAGAGGACAGACGCCCTCTCCAGAGAGAGGGCATGGTCCTCCTTTTCTGCACAGTCATACAGTCAGTCAGTGGAGGATTGCACAGGGGTTTTGTTTCTCGAATCAGACGTGGCTCCTCTCTCCTCCCGTGCTTCTCCCGGTGCACCTCCTGGTGCACATGGTCCAAGACGCGGGGAAAGTACTGCGCACTTTTAATTCCATTGAGTCCTTCTGCTGACGGGTGTCGTGCTCCGCGTCCTCCCTCTGCTCCTGCCTCACTCCCTCTGCTCCTCCTCTCCCTCTCCTCCTTCTCACTCGCTCCTCTTCTTCTCTGTTCAGAGATTTTTCTTTTTTGGAGGGTGGAAGTCTTGGACAGTGGTGCCCCGCCTCCTCATTGATTGGCATAGACACACACACACTGCCCAAATTCCACTGTCACTTGTGATTCCGTTGCAGGGAACAGTGAGGTTTAAGGTCAAACAAAAGTAGCAGCACATGGTAAAATATGTGTAATGTATGTAGTTATGTATTTTACTAAAACTTACAAAAACCAGAAATCCTGAAAAGTGAAAAAAAAGTGAAGAGAGAAATACACTCATGACTGTTGCCCCCTGCTGGAGAGAGACCAGAGGGAGACAGAGAGAGACCAGAGAGAGACCAGAGAGAGACCAGAGGGAGACCAGAGGGAGACCAGAGAGAGACCAGAGGGAGACCAGAGAGAGACCAGAGGGAGACCAGAGAGAGACCAGAGAGAACAGAGGGAGACCAGAGAGAGACCAGAGAGAGACCAGAGGGAGACCAGAGAGACCAGAGAGAGACCAGAGAAAGACCAGAGAGAGACCAGAGACCAGTAAGACTCACAGGGCACGACAATATTTCCAACATATTTTATTAAGATTGAACAGTGATAAATAGAACTAATGAAGCAGTGTGAGCCCTGAGACCAGTCCAGACTCAGCAGTCCAGGCTCAGCAGCAGAGCGGTCCCGCGTTTGATCCAATGGTCCGGAGCCACAGACCCGGACTGGAGCTCCACCCCCACCACGAACGAGGCCCTGCCCCCGGTCCCTGTGCGCACTGGGAAGTAGTAGCAGGGACACAGGTACGAGGCTGCAAGAAACCACAGGGAACATGTATCATATACACCAGAGAGAGATACCAGAGAGAGAGACCAGAGAGATACCAGAGAGAGAGACCAGAGAGAGATACCAGAGAGAGACCAGAAAGAGACCAGAGAGATACCAGAGAGAGAGACCAGAGAGATACCAGAGAGAGAGACCAGAGAGATACCAGAGAGAGACCAGAGAGAGAGACCAGAGAGATACCAGATTCAGATTCTAATATGTTTATGTTGTTTATATTCGTCTGTGATACACTTGCCACCGTGAAGTATGACCGAGAGACACTTCTCTACATTCGGGGCCGAGCTTGCGGAGTGTCGCAGGTCTTACCCGAACTGAGGTGCTTGGACTTCATTGAGTGCCCCACTCGTGAGGCCCGTCAAACATGGCAGGCGAACAGAGCGGGGGGACTGGGCGTCTCCATCGTGCTCTCCGCGGTGTAGAGCTGGGTACCGGGTGCCGACGTAGGAGGCGCAGACACCGGGGAAAACGAGGCGGTCTGCTCGTGAGATGCCGCTCCTGCAGGACCGCTCTGCCCTCCATCTACCTGGCGAATGTACAGTCTCTGCCCAATAAGACGGACGAGCTCCTGTGTCGTATCCAGAGCCAGCGCGAGGCCCGAGACTGCGCTGTGTTCTGCCTCAGCGAGACGTGGCTTCACACGAACGTCCCGGACTCTGCTGTTCAGCCCCCGGGATTCACCGTTCACCGCGCGGACAGAGAAAAGGAGACCACGGGGAAATCCAGAGGTGGAGGTGTGTGCTTTTTAATTAATCAGCGCTGGTGCACGGATACTCGCATCGTGAACCAAACATGTACTGCCAATTTGGAATGCCTGGTCTTGAGCTGTCGCCCTTTTTATCTTCCGCGGGAGTTTTCTGTGATATTTTTATGCGCTGTTTACATCCACCCACGAGCGGACTATACTGTAGCACTACAGGATCTGAGCGAGATCCTTCATAAATACGAGACTGCTCATCCTAATGCAGTGATCATTGTCGCTGGGGATTTTAACAAATGTAATTTAAAGACTGTACTCCCAAATTTCTACCAACATGTGACTTGAGCTACAAGAGGAGCACAGATCCTGGATCACTGCTACAGCAATGTGAAGGGAGCTTACAGGTCCAGTCTCAGACCTCCATTTGGAAAGTCCGATCACTCCTCTGTTCTCCTTCTTCCCTCATACACTCAGAGGAGCAGGGAACATAAACCAACCTCTCGCACTGTGCAGTGTTGGTCTGAGGAGGCTAGCATGAAGCTACAAGGTTGTTTTGATGCCACTGACTGGTCTGTGTTTCAGTCAGAGGATGTTAATGAATTCTGTGACGCTGTGTCTGGATACATACGCTTCTGTATTGACGGCTGTGTCCCACAGAAGGTCATTAAAGTACATCTCAGTCAAAACCCTTGGATGAACGCGGAAGTGAAACAAAAACTTCATGAGCGTGTTCTGGCGTTTCAATCTAAAGATACAGTTGCCTATAAGCTATCCTGCTACGCATTGAAACGTTCTATTAAATCTGCAAAGCGCAGTTACGGGGACAGGTTAAAGGGTTATTTCAAGGAAGATGACCCTCGGCGCATGTGGAGCGGTATTAAAGCCATCACGTCCTGGAAACCTAGTGCTGGGAAAATCGGATCTGTTGGCCCAGCTCTGCCTAATGAGCTGAACTCGTTCTACTGCCGCTTCGAATCCGCTGATGCCTGTCCTACTGTATTCCCTGAGTGTTTCAATCAAGGTGCGTTCACCGTGACTCAGGAGGTAGTCCAGCGGGTCTTGTCCAGCACCATTGTCCGGAAAGCCCCTGGCCCGGACGGCATCCCACCCCGTGTCCTGAAACTGTGCTCTGAGCAACTTGCCCCTGTGCTAACAGACATTTTGAACCTGTCGCTAAGGAACTGTACTGTGCCGAACTGCTTTAAAGAGTCGACCATCATTCCAGTTCCTAAGAAAACTCCTGTGACATGCCTTAATGACTATCGTCCTGTGGCCCTCACTTCTGTCCTAATGAAGACTTTTGAGCGGCTTGTGCTGGACTTCATTAAGAGCCAGATCCCTGTGAGTGTTGACCCGCTCCAGTTTGCTTACAGACAGAACAGGAGTGTGGAGGATGCCATCTCCTTTGCTCTGAACTCTGTCTACAGTCACTTGGACAATAGGAAATCTGTCGCAAGAATGCTGTTCATTGATTATAGCTCTGCTTTTAATTGTCTTGTCCCAGGTAAACTGATTGAAAAACTCATGTCTCTCGGTTTAAGTGTTGCCATGTGTAAATGGATCTATAGCTTTTTAACTGACAGATCTCAGAGAGTGAAAATCAATGACTGTTTTTCAGATGTTGTTTCTGTGAGCACTGGATCTCCTCAGGGATGTATTTTGAGTCCTTTACTTTTTACACTGTACACTCATGATTGTGTGTCTTCCTCAGACTCTAACCTGATCCTTAAATATGCTGATGACACCACCATCATCGGTCTCATCAGTAATAACGATGAATCCTCTTATAGAGCCGAGATCCAAAACGTGGTTCAGTGGAGTAAGGCTAACAACCTCCAGCTGAACGCATCCAAAACATGTGAACTGGTCTTTGATTTCAGTCGCAATAGTTCTCATTTGCCTGTCGCAATCGATAACTCCCAAGTGCAGATTGTAGAGGAGTGTAAGTTTCTGGGTCTAACTCTGTCTAACGACCTGAAATGGGTTAAAAACACTGACCGGGTCGTAAAGAAAGCTCGTCAGCGTCTCTACTTCCTGCGGAAACTTAGAGAATTTACCACTAACTCTAAGATTCTGCTGAACTTTTATCGCTGCACCATTGAGAGTTTACTTGTTGGTTCTGTGTCTGTGTGGTTTGGAAACATCACAGATAAAGAAAAGAGAGCTTTAAACAAGGTGCTCCGCTCTGCAAAGAGGACTGTAGGCTGTGAACTTCCTGTCCTGGAGGCTCTTTATCAATCCAGACTTTTTAACAGTGCCCTGAGAATTATCAATGACTCTCCTGGCCACCCAGGAAAAGCCTTGTTCCAGCTTCTTCCCTCTGGCAGAAGATACTGTTCTCTGAGATGCAGGACATCTCGTTATGCTAATAGTTTTTTTCCACAAGCTGTTATCAGCTTGAATAGAGCACTTTAATGTTTTTGCACTTGTATAGATCTGTTTTAGTTGGTCAACTTCACAGTGACATTTGTTTACTGTTTTTAAAATTTGTTTTATTTTTGTCTTTTAATGTTGTTTTATGTCTGTACTTGTCCTGTGCACACTGGGAACTTTTACTAATGTATTCCAATGTAGTGTTACTGCAAATGGCGAAATAAAATGAATCTGAATCTGAGACCAGAGGGGGACCAGAGAGACCAGAGAGAGACCAGAGGGGTCCAGAGAGACCAGAGAGGGAGTGAATTGTTGGGGTCAATGATTGCAGCTTTGTAATGAAGACATTAGAAACATGATCAAAAGCAGTGAGGAGAGGTGTGTGAGCTCTGAGAGCGGTTTGGAAAGGAATCCTCTAAATGTTGGAACAGGAAAGTGAATGACTTTCTCTAGACTGTACACACATGCTAATGGTAACATCTGTACCAGGCCTGGTGCCTGTGCACTCACTCTTGGACATCTTCTTGCGGTCGGCCACAGGTTTGAAGTGAATGGTGGGAACAGGACACACCATCTGCATGGGCTCTGCTTCCACCAGGCACAGGCTGGACCTGTCCCATCCAGCTCCCTGTAGGTACAGGCCACAGACATACACCCCGTCCTGAGGACAGAGGGGACACAAAGAGGACACAGAGGGGACACAGAGAGGACACAGAGAGGACACAGAGGGGACACAGAGAGGACAGAGAGAGGACAGAGAGGACACAGAGAGGACACAGAGGGGACACAGAGGGGACACAGAGAGGACAGAGAGAGGACAGAGGGGACACAGAGGGGAGACAGAGAGGGGGCACAGAGAGGACACAGAGAGGACACAGAGGGGACACAGAGAGGACACAGAGGGGACAGAGAGAGGACACAGAGAGGACACAGAGAGGACAGAGAGAGGACAGAGGGGACACAGAGAGGACAGAGAGAGGACAGAGAGGACACAGAGAGGACACAGAGGGGACACAGAGGGGACACAGAGAGGACAGAGAGAGGACAGAGGGGACACAGAGGGGACACAGAGAGGACAGAGAGAGGACAGAGGGGACACAGAGGGGACACAGAGGGGACACAGAGAGGACACAGAGGGGACAGAGAGAGGACACAGAGAGGACACAGAGGGGACACAGAGAGGACACAGAGAGGACACAGAGAGGACAGAGAGAGGACACAGAGAGGACACAGAGGGGACACAGAGGGGACACAGAGGGGACACAGAGAGGACAGAGAGAGGACACAGAGAGGACACAGAGAGGACACAGAGGGGACACAGAGGGGACACAGAGAGGACACAGAGGGGACACAGAGAGGACACAGAGGGGACAGAGAGAGGACACAGAGAGGACAGAGAGAGGACAGAGAGAGGACAGAGGGGACACAGAGGGGAGACAGAGAGGGGGCACAGAGAGGACACAGAGGGGACACAGAGAGGACACAGAGGGGACACAGAGAGGACACAGAGGGGACACAGAGGGGACACAGAGAGGACACAGAGGACACAGAGGGGACACAGAGAGGACACAGAGGGGACACAGAGGGGACACAGAGAGGACACAGAGGGGACACCGAGAGGACACAGAGGGGACACAGAGGGGACACAGAGAGGACACAGAGGGGACACAGAGAGGACACAGAGGGGACACAGAGAGGACACAGAGGGGACACAGAGAGGACACAGAGAGGACACAGAGGACAGAGAGAGGACAGAGGGGACACAGAGGGGAGACAGAGAGGGGGCACAGAGAGGACACAGAGAGGACACAGAGGGGACACAGAGAGGACACAGAGGGGACACAGAGGGGACACAGAGAGGACACAGAGGGGACACAGAGAGGACACAGAGGGGACACCGAGAGGACACAGAGGGGACACCGAGAGGACACAGAGAGGACACAGAGGGGACACAGAGGGGACACAGAGAGGACACAGAGAGGACATCATTATCACTACTGTTTATTCTCTGCTGCTAAAGTGCAATATAAACATCTGTAAATACTGCTGCTGACTACTTTAGAGTTAGACACAGGTGTGAGACACAGGTGTGAGACACAGGTGTGTACCTTAGGTGGCTGCAGCAGATGGCTGTCCTCCACTGAGGACACAATGAACTCCCAGGACAGAGTGTCCACAGAAATCTGTCACACAACAATAACAACAGTAACACACCTGACCAGGACAGTAGAGTAGAGTAAGTAAGTAAGTAATGTTTATTCATATAGCGGATTATACAGACCAAGGTCACCCAAAGCACTTTACAATGTTCAGAGTTCAGATATTGTTCCAATCAATTCCACACACGTGATGTCGGAAGCAAGTCGCCGAGCACACTGGAACATCAGCTCCAATCAACACCATCCATTCACTCTCTCATTTACATTCAGACCTATTGTGCATGTTTTTAGTGGTAGGGGAAACCAGAGCACCAGAGGAAGACGGGGAGAAGACGCAGAGCAGAGCAGAGCAGAGCAGAGCAGAGCAGAGCAGAGCAGAGCTACAGAAGAGAACCATAAACCTGGACCAGAGGTTGCCACTGAAACCAGCTGCACTCACCTGGTTCTTTCGCGCCGCAGACTGCAGCACAGCGGTCAGGAGGGTGTTGGGGAAGGTGAACCCCGACAGCCACAGATGAGTGGGGGGCACCGCCGTCTGGGCCCACAACGAGAACTGAGCCACACGTTGACACAGGTCTCTGGTCCAGGACGCCAGAGGCTTCAGGGACGGGTAGGTCTGGACCACAGAGGGACACGGGAGAAGCAGGTCAGAGAGGACAGATGGGACATCACAGATAATGACAGGCCTCTGTGGACGAGAGCTGCAGCTTTTTCAATCAATTCTGTGGATTTGTATCTCGCCCCAAATCATAACTGCTACAGACTGAGACTGTAGATCGAGGACTGAGGTTGTAGATTTAGGACTGAGGCTGTAGATCCAGGACTGAGGCTGTAGACCAAACATGGGCAAACTTTTCCTCCTGAGGGCCACATTGGAAATTAGGTCCGGATCCCGGCAGCCGTCTGATATTCTAATATTTATCTCAGGCTTCATTTTAAAACATGAATGTATTGTTTATACGAAAAAAAATAGCTCTGCACACAGTACAGAGGGGGATTGTATGGTGTAGAAACTGAAATTACCCCACTGTGGGATGAATAAATGTTCTTAATCCTAATCTCTCTTGATCTTAATCTTAATCTATATAAATTGAGGAGGGCTCAGGGGCCTGATAGAAGCATCCAAACGGCCGTATATGGCCCACGGGCCGGGGTTTGCCCACCACTGCTGTAGACCCAGGACAGACTGTAGATCAAGGACTGAGGCTGTAGATCCAGGACTGAGACTGTAGATCCAGGACTGAGGCTGAGGCAGAGAGAGGAGACAGAGGAGAGCTGCACAGGAGCAGATGGATGGAGTTCAGGAGAGTAGGATGGAGGGAGATGACGTCAGACAAAGTAAACACTAAAGAGTGAGATCAGTCTGTGATGGATCCACAGCAGGATGGGCTCAGGCTGAACATTACATTCAAACTAAACACTAATGTTCATTTAATTTGTTTCATGGGAGTGTTTTCTACCTTTAAGATCGCATTAAAACCAGGAACACACACACTGATACTCCAGTGTACAGACACTGGGGGTGAAGCAGCTTCAGTGTCTTGCCTAAGGACACAGCAGTCACCAATGGCAGCTGGTTTTCACACCTGTCTAACTCACCCAGTAATGTTTATGTTAGGACCAGGGTTCAAACTGCCATCCTTCAGCTCAGGGGACACACCAAACCCTGTTCCAAGATGGCTGCCTGGTCTGGTGTCCCCGTGGAGACACACGAGACCAATGGCAGCCGCTCATTAGCCTGACTCTCGCCAGACCATTGTAGTTCCGCCGTGCTCCACCAGAGGCGTCTGGCTGAACCACATTGGTCTGGTATCGAGCGCAGTGCAAACTCCTTCAGCAGATCAGAAAATAATCAACCAATCAGGATCAACGGTGTTACGTCGGGTTTGCACCGCCTTCTTAAGCGTGTCTCACGCACCAGCGAAAGCAATCCAAGATGGTGACATGAAGTCCGCAAATTTTTGTAAAAGTTTAAATACGAACAAATTAAAGGAATAGGCCACCGTTTTTACATACTGACATATGTTCTTACCTTAGACTAGTTGATATGTACCTGTCTGGTCTTTGTCCGTGCGCTCTGTCATGCAAACGGAGCACAAATACAGCCTCTTCCACATACTGTATAGTACTCTTCCACGTGTTGCCTATTTAAATACAGTTACATTTCTGTGTTACTTTACTTTATAGAGTAACACGTCATATAATACGCGTAATAATAATAGGAGCACTACGTCCGCGCACTAACTCCTACAGACTTCTCTCCCGCTCACTTCCGTCAATAGAAGCAGCGTGACTTGTAGAAGTCTTTAGGAGTTAGTGCGCGGACGTAGTGCTCCTCGTATTATTACACCTCACAATATAGTACCCCTTTTTATCCGCTGAGAAAATCGACATGTCGCATTTCTGTGATTTGGAACTACACAGTATGTGGAAGAGGCTGCTGCGCTCCGTTTGCATGACAGAGCGCACGGACAAAGACCAGACAGGTACATATCAACTAGTCTAAGGTAAGGTGTGAAAATATATCACAGTATGTAAAAACTCCTCTGGTTCCTGTTTACAGCTAACAAATAAACAGAGAGACAATAAAAAGAATAATGATAGCCCAAGTTGATTAAATTACGTTTTTAGCCAAAAAAATCATTCTGGGTGTTTTTTTTGGGGCATTATCGCGGGTATTGGGCTGGAAAATCTTGTCGGCATTTGGCAACCCTTGGGAGTCGTGTGCTTCGATGCGAGTGGTTGAAGGAAGACGTCGTTCAAAATAACGGACAAGTGGTTTATCCAATCACAGACAAGGATTTGTTTGCCTTCTGAAATCCAACTGCTATGGAGGAGGCCCAGACGCATGTGTGAAGTGTAACGAACTACATAAGTCTGGTGAGAGTCAGACTAGCCGATCATATCTACGCAGTAGAAACCAGCAGCTTCAATCTCCTTTCTCTGGCACAGAAGCATACAGTATGTGGTGTTTGTGGGTGTCATGCCGTACCTTGGCCCACAGGGGGGGCACACGAGCGTTGTAGATACAGTTGAAGGTCTCCTCCAGACTGGGAGACATCACCACTAACCCTTTGATCCCCTTCTGTAGAGTGACGATGGAGGAGCTGCAACACACGTACACCACTGCATGTTATAAACACACACCACTGTATTTTATAAACACACACACACACCACTGAATGTTATAAACACACACCACTGTATTTTATAAACACACACACACAAACACCACTGTATGTCATAAACACACACACACACACACACCACTGTATGTTATAAACACACACATACACCCCTGTATGATATAAACACACACACACACACCACTGTATGTTATAAACACACACATACACCACTGTATGATATAAACACACACATACACCACTGTATGATATAAACACACACACACACACCACTGTATGTTATAAACACACACAGACACACACACACCACTGTATGTTATAAACACACACACACACACACACACACCACTGTATGTTATAAACACACACATACACCCCTGTATGATATAAACACACACACACACACACCACTGTATGTTATAAACACACACAGACACACACACACCACTGTATGTTATAAACACACACACACACACCACTGTATGTTATAAACACACACAGACACACACACACCACTGTATGTTATAAACACACACACACACACCACTGTATGTTATAAACACACCCACACACACACCACTGTATGTTATAAACACACCCACACACACACCGCTGTATGTTATAAACACACACAGACACACACACCACTGTATGTTATAAACACACACACACACACCACTGTATGTTATAAACACACACACACACGGGCGGCACGGTGGCTGAGTGGATAGCACTCTCGCCTCTCAGCAAGAAGGTCCTGGGTTCAAATCCCGGTTGGACCAGGGCCTTTCTGAGTGGAGTTTGCATGTTCTCCCCGTGTCTGCGTAGGTTTCCTCCGGGTGCTCCGGTTTCCCCTACCACTAAAAATATGTACAATAGGTATGGCATGTGCCTCCTGTACTGGCACCCCCACTCCCAAAAAAATAACAATTGTAAACCGCTTTGAGACTCCGATGTGCAGTGAAAAGGCGGTATATAAATAAAAGCTTACTTGCTTACTTACTTACTTACACACACCACTGTATGTTATAAACACACACACACACACCACTGTATGTTATAAACACACCCACACACACACCACTGTATGTTATAAACACACCCACACACACACCGCTGTATGTTATAAACACACACAGACACACACACCACTGTATGTTATAAACACACACACACACACCACTGTATGTTATAAACACACACACACACACCACTGTATGTTATAAACACACACACACACACACACCACTGTATGTTATAAACACACACACACACACACACCACTGTATGGTATAAACACACACCACTGCATGTTATAAACACACACATGGAGCTGAAGCGCAGATTCAGACTGAAAGACCGGCCACGGCCATCACCTGTCCAGGGCCCGCCAGGGCCTGCCAATCACACAGCCCGGCCAGCCCCTTGTCAACCCACTGACAGAAGCGGGCAGTTTAAAAGCAGCCACTCCCCGATAAACGGCCCTTCCTGAAGCTCTTAACACCCACCACCTCCCCAGCGCCTCCTCAGCTTCTGGCTCCTGCTCTGGCTCCTGCTCTGGCTCCTGCTCCCCCTACGCCCCATTCACACCATGCTTCTAGCCACCACCAGTGCTTGACCCCGGGGGGCCTGAGATCATCTACAGCAGCTGACAATCTCCCCTCTGCAAGTGTCACTGCCAGGGTCAATGCGCCAATCAAATTGATCTTTTTCATGCATTGATGTTTCTGTCTAGTCTCTTCAGATTGAAACATACACCACTGCATGTTATAACCACACACACACACACACACAGATACACAACTGTAACAGACCTCTGCTGGAGAAGTCTAGTAACGTCCTCACAACCCTTCACTAACCTCGGCCCTTATAACCTACAGTAGTATGTAGTAGTATAACCTACACTAGTACAGTTTGTAGTAGTATATAACCTACAGTAGTATGTAGTAGTATATAAACTACAGTAGTATGTAGTAGTATATAAACTACACTAGTATGTAGTATATAAACTACAGTAGTATGTAGTAGTATATATACTACACTAGTATGTAGTAGTATATAAACTACAGTAGTATGTAGTAGTATATAAACTACAGTAGTATGTAGTAGTATATAAACTACACTAGTATGTAGTAGTATATAAACTACAGTAGTATGTAGTAGTATATAAACTACACTAGTATGTAGTAGTATATAAACTACAGTAGTATGTAGTAGTATATAAACTACAGTAGTATGTAGTAGTATATAAACTACAGTAGTATGTAGTAGTATATAAACTACAGTAGTATGTAGTAGTATATAAACTACACTAGTATGTAGTAGTATATAAACTACAGTAGTATGTAGTAGTATATAAACTACACTAGTATGTAGTAGTATATAAACTACAGTAGTATGTAGTAGTATATAAAGTACAGTAGTATGTAGTAGTATATAAAGTACAGTAGTATGTAGTAGTATATAAACTACAGTAGTATATAGTATTATATAAAGTACAGTAGTATGTAGTAGTATATAAAGTACAGTGGTATGTAGTAGTATATAAAGTACACTAGTATGTAGAAGTATATAAAGTACAGTAGTAACAGAGTAGTTACCTGATGGTCTGCAGCAGAGTGTTGTAGGCCTGTATCTCCTGCAGCAGGACCACGTTCAGAGGAGTCGGCTGCTCCTTAAGGACTTCTCTGACACTTTTGTCGTCCACTAAAGCTGGGATCTTTGTTTTCACATCTGCAAGAAGCTCTAACACCTGGTACACAGAGGAGGGTCAGAGACCAGGGGGAAACCAGGAACCAGGGACTAGAGGGAGACCAGGGACCAGGGACCAGAGAGAGACCAGAGAGAGACCAGAGAGAGAGACCAGAGAGACCAGAGAGAGACCAGAGAGAAACCAGAGAGAGAGACCAGAGAGAGACCAGAGAGAGAGACCAGAGAGAGACCAGAGAGAGAAAGGTGAACTGTATTATAGTGATGGACCAGTGTAGCTAGAATAAAACAGAGGTTTCCCTAATTCACAATGTGTTACTTTTGGTAAAGACTCATTTCATTTCAAGTCATTTCTATCTCGCCCTAAACCGCAGTCGTCTCTGAGGACTTTACAAAGTTGTGGATTCACCACCAACAGATCAGAGAATCAAATCGTTCAAACATAGAGACATTGTTCTGTCCTTAGACCCTCCTGCACCAGCAAGGAAGTAACATGCTCACCCGGTCCTCTCGGCTGGTCCCAGGGCCGGTCCCAGGGGCGGCCCCAAGGGCCCCAGGGCTGACCTGAGGCTGCAGGGACAGCAGGGTGTGGAACAGGCTCTGTGTCTCTGCGATCTGACTGGCGATGTCAGCGTTAGGGTGTTGTCCGAACACCTCAGGGTGCTCTGTGGGAGGGAGCTCACTGATGTACTTCACACAGGAGGCTCGACTGCAGTCCTGGGGGATGCAGTAGAAAGGGAGGGACGACAGGCTAGGGGGAGGGGGGAGAGGACAGAGAGACAGAGGACAGAGAGACAGAGAGGACAGAGAGACAGATAGAACAAAGGACAGAGAGGACAGAGAGACAGAGAGGGCAGAGAGATAGAGAGGGAAGAGGACAGAGGGGACAGAGGATAGAGAGGACAGAGGACAGAGAGGATAGAGAAATAGAGAGGGAAGAGGACAGAGGGGACAGAGAGACAGAGAGGACAAAGGACAGAGAGGACAGAGAGACAGAGAGGACAAAGAGACAGAGGACAGAGAGACAGAGGGGACAGAGGATAGAGAGACAGAGGACACATGGATGTGTGTTTATGTATTGTCTTCATTTCTCTTAAATACAAGCCATTTTTAATCACTGACTTTGTGAATGATGCATTAGTAATGTAATACTTTGGTTGCTCACTAGGTGCTGCTATAAGACCATGGACAGTATTAGCATCATGACAAAGGCCTGAAGAGGAGGTTTGAATAGTTCATTTGCAAAAACAGAAATAAACATACTTGAAAGGCTTACAATGTGCCCTTTATCAAGTCAAGGATGCAACAATGAATTTCTACTCTATTCTACTCTACTCTACACTGCTCTACTGTACTCTACTCTACTGTACTCTACCCTACTCTGCTCTACTGTACTGTACTCTACTCTGCTCTACTCTACTGCACTCCACTTTACTCTACTGTAGAGCGGAGTAGAGCAGAGTAGAGTGGAGCAGAGTACAGTAGAGCAGAGTAGAGCAGGTTAGTACCTGTAGAAAGGCTGCAGGATGGCCTCCTCACAGAAGCAGGTGTTGATGTAGGTGGTGAGCAGGCGTCGGTCCCAGTCGTCGGTCACATGACCTCCGTAGTTGACTCCAGCGATCAGGTACTTTAGAGCGTCCCAGGGAATGTCCTCGTACTTATCCAGGTACAGACTCAGCAGGTTCTCACTCACCTGGAAACACAGATATCACCACCACAGTCCTCACATACAAGCAGCTTTATTTGTATAGCACATGTGCTAACACAACAAACCACACGTTAAAACAGATGAGCCACCTTTACTGGCTCCTCTCCATGTGGAGGAGGAGTGGCTCTACTTCGAGCTTGTGTGACTGATCTCTCTGGAGGAAACTGTAGTTGTACCTCAAAGTCAGAGTCGTTGAAGCCGTAGACAATGTTCCAGCCGAGCTGCAGGAACTTCTTCCTCTCCAGGAGGATGCTGTGGAAGAAGCAGAGGGAGAAGAGCAGCTTCCGGTACTGGAGTGGTCTGGAGCAGCGGCTGAACTGGGCCTCTGTCACCAGCTGGTACAGCCGCTTCATATTGGCCTTCACCCCCTGCACACAGAGCCCCCTACAGGTCAGCAGGAGCAAGTGCAGATACCTCTGTCCCTGCAGGTCTAAAGCCGCTCTGTTCCAGGTCAAATACACTGTAATGTTTAGTGCAGAGGTGCAGCCGACCTTGGGGGGCTCGGTGGTCATCTTGATGCCCGCCTGGAGAATAGTGATGGGGAAGTCTGGATGTGGAGACGAGCTGAGCCACAGCCTGAAGTCTGGGTGAGGCTCCTCCACCTGCAGCTGCTCCAACAGTTTGTCCAGCTCTGGCATCCAGGACAGAGACAGGTGGCAGTTCGCCAGAAACACCCAGTGACCTACAAGACAAGAGAACACATTAGTCCTGGTCTCAGGTCTCTGTCCTGAAGTCCTCTCACATGAGTCCTGGTCTCAGGTCTCTGTCCTGAAGTCCTTTCACAGTAGTCCTGGTCTCAGGTCTCGCTCCTGAAGTCCTCTCACATTAATCCTGGTCCTGGGTCTTTACCCACTGCACATCCATGTAGCGAATAATGAACGTGACTAGACTACCGTTTCTGGCCCCGTCTGTGATCATCCTCCGGGCGATGGGCGCCTGTCCTTGACCCAGAGACAGAGCGTGGAACTGGCTGCTCTTCCCAGAAGACTCTGCCAACTGCAGCAGGCCTCCTGTGGGGTCCACCCCAGGAGACAGCACGAAGATCAGAGGAGTCAGACTACTGGACTCTTCTACCACCTGCACACGACACAGAGGTGAGAGAGAAAGAGACCAGAGAGACCAGAGAGAGACCAGAGAGAGACCAGAGAGAGACCAGAGAGAGACCAGAGAGACCAGAGAGAGACCAGAAAGAGACCAGAGAGAGACCAGAGACAGAGAGACCAGAGAAAGACAAGAGAGACAAGAGAGAGAGACCAGTGAGAGAGAGAGACCAGAGAGAGACAGAGAGGGTGAGTCAGACGTACAGCCTGCATGTCCAGAGCAGGAGGCTCCACAAAGCGAGAGCCCAGGTTCCTGCAGACGAAGGAGGAGACGCAGAAGGAGATGCGGTCCTGACGCAAGCAGCGAACGATCAGCATCTTCTGGAAGTCATTACAGCCCTGCCAGTCCTCTGACCCACAACAGACACACAACAGGTAAAACACAACACACAAAGAGCCCTGTTGTGTGTCTTCTACTGCGACCCTCTCCTACAGTGACCCTCTTCTACATTGACCCTCTCCTACAGTGACCCTCTCCCACAGTGACCCTCTTCTACAGTGACCCTCTCCTACAGTGACCCTCTCCCACAGTGACCCTCTTCTACAGTGACCCTCTCCTACAGTGACCCTCTCCCACAGTGACCCTCTTCTACAGTGACCCTCTCCTACAGTGACCCTCTCCCACAGTGACCCTCTTCTACAGTGACCTTCTCCTACAGTGACCCTCTCCCACAGTGACCCTCTTCTACAGTGACCCTCTCCTACAGTGACCCTCTCCTACAGTGACCCTCTCCTACAGTGACCCTCTCCTAAAGTGACCCTCTCCTACAGTGACCCTCTCCTACAGTGACCCTCTCCTAAAGTGACCCTCTCCTACAGTGACCCTCTCCTACAGTGACCCACTCCTACAGTGACCCTCTTCTACAGTGATCCTCTCCTACAGTGACCCTCTCCTACAGAGACCCTCTCCTACAGTGACCCTCTCCTACAGTGACCCTCTCCTACAGTGACCCTACACACCCGGGAGAGGAGCAGTCTCGGGCTCGGCGCTGGTGAACCACTGGTGCCAGTCTTTCGGCTGCTGTTCAAAAGACGTCGTGATTCGGAAGAAGTTTGGAAGTTGGTCCAAAGTCGTGATGTTGTCCCAGGACGAGTCCTGGAGCCAACTGGGACACGGGTTATACATCTGCTCCTTCTTATCCAGCACCTACAGGAGACCAGGAAGAACTATGACACCAGAGACCAGAGCGAGACCAGAGGGAGACCAGAGAGAGACCAGAAGGAGACCAGAGAGAGACAGATGTCTACTATTTAAATGAATGAGAATCTAAAAATACAGCAGGTATTTGTGTTAATCCAGGACAGACTGTGAAAAGAGGGCAGCTGTGTGTAGGTCTGACCTCCTCTTGAGTGTCTGTGACCAGGCCTCCTCTGAGTGTCTGTTTCTGTTACCAGGCCTCCCCTGAGTGTCTGTGTCTGTTACCAGGCCTCCTCTGAGTGTCTGTGTCTGTTACCAGGCCTCCTCTGAGTGTCTGTGTCTGTTACCAGGCCTCCTCTGAGGAAGAAGTTGTACTCGTCCATGTTGAGTTGTCCCGACACCTCCAGGATCTTCGCACACATCTGGAAACTGAACAGCAGCTTGTGCGCCTCAAACAGACCGCGGCACGTGTTCCTGAAACATACGACTGTTAGCTACATCAGACCACGTTAGCTCTGTGTTAGCTCTCTGTTAGCTGCATCAGACCACGTTAGCTCTTTGGTAGCTCACCTGTAGACTACGTAGGTGTGGTAGTCGTTGAGGTTAGCTCTCTGGTAGCTCACCTGTAGACTGCGTAGGTGTGGTAGTCGTTGAGGTGAGTGATCCTCTCCTCCAGCTTGTGGCTGCGTTTGCTCTTGTCAATGCTGGTGTTGAACAGACACAGATAAGCGTCCAGAGAAAACTGGTACATGGGGTCCACACGGCTCAGGTCGTTCAGGAGGAAGAACAGGATTGAGGCTCTCTGAGCACAAGGACGATAAGCCTGAAAACACACATACACACACATACACACACATAAAACACACGTTTCATTTGTTAGCATTGTTTATCTGATTGCTGAACAATGTTATACAATAGATATGAAAGAAAATGGTAATTTTTCTCAAAATAACCGAAATTGCAATGTCCCGAAACATAAGTCAGGACAGGGGTGGAAAGTTGCTTGGAGAACATAAGATAAACTTTATTGATCTCACAATGGAGACATTTACAAAGATCTTGATGATATAGATTACTGAAAGACCTGGAAGAAGGGAAACTTTGAAGAGGTGGAACAAAGAATACAGGTATAACAAGAAAAGCACAGAGGAGACAAATATAAATCTCTCCATCTACACAGTCAGATGTGTACATGATGCTAGGTCATCACACACCTCTCTGGCAGAGTCGATGGCGACCTTGGTGGTCTCGCTGGTGACCAGCTGCTCTGAGACCTCGATGGCGGTCATTTTAGACGTCTGCAGAGTGTTGACCAGCTGCACATCGTCCAGGAGGGATCCAGACGCCTCGTTCAGCAGCCTGAGGACACACAGGGGCTTTCACTCATCACAGCAGCTTCAACTCTGGTCTCTCTCTCTGGTCTCTGGTTTCTCTCTGGTCTCGCTCTCTTGTCTCTCTCTCTGGTGTTTCTCTCTGGTCTTTCTCTCTGGTCTTTCTCTCTGGTCTCTCTCTGGTCTCTCTCTGGTCTCTCTCTGGTCTCTCTCTGGTCTCTCTCTGGTCTCTCTCTGGTCTCTCTCTGGTCTCTCTCTGGTCTCTCTCTGGTCTCTCTCTGGTCTCTCTCTGGTCTCTCTCTGGTCTCTCTCTCTGGTCTCTCTCTCTGGTCTCTCTCTCTGGTCTCTCTCTCTGGTCTCTCTCTCTGGTCTCTCTCTCTGGTCTCTCTCTCTGGTCTCTCTCTCTGGTCTCTCTCTCTGGTCTTTCTCTCTGGTCTCTCTCTGGTCTCTTTCTGGTCTCTCTCTGGTCTCTCTCTGGTCTCTCTCTGGTCTCTCTCTCTGGTCTCTCTCTCTGGTCTCTCTCTGGCCTTTCTCACTGATCTCTCTCTGGTCTCTCTCTGAGTCCTGAACCTGAGGATCTGATCTTCCAGCTCCTGCAGACGGTGTTTTCCAGATGAGATGCTGATCACCAAAGAGTCTTTCTGCTCCTCCAGCTCCGGACGCTCTTTTCTAACCACGATCCCCAAGAGCTGAGCCTCCAGCCCCTGTCAGAGAGACACACACCACAGAGTCAGAGACACACACTAAACACACCTCAGCGTAGGTTTCCTAAAAACATGTACAATAGGTCTGTGCCTCCTGTATTAGCCCCTCCCATCTCTGTGTGGAGTGAGAGACAAATGCCCACAATTGTAAACCACTTTCTCTGGTCTGTGAAAGGCGCTACATAAATAAACATTACTTACTTATTAAGTAAGTAATGTTTATTTCTTAATATTACTTACAGTACACAAACATTACTAAACACACACATAGGAGTACACAAACCTGACACACAGAGGAGTACACAAACCTGACACACAGAGGAGTACACAAACCTGACACACAGAGGAGTACACAAACCTGACACACAGAGGAGTACACAAACCTGACACACAGAGGAGTACAAAAACCTGACAGACACACACACGCACCCACACACCCAGGAGTACACACACCTGACACACACATGCACACACACACACACACAGATACAAACACACAGACACACAAAAACACACACACACCACACACACCTGTTCCTTCACTGCAAAGTTAACGATGGTGGTCTTGGTGGACGTCTCTGGAGTGAAGTGAGGGTTCCACAGTTTTGTGGCGATGTAGAAACGGAACTCAGGATTATACTCTATCTCTTTATCTCCAATCTTCATCAGTAGCCGGCCACCTGGGGGCACACAGGTACATACTGACCACAGGTACACACTGACTACAGGTACACAACACAGGTACACACTGACTACAGGTACACAACACAGGTACAAACTGACTACAGATACACAACACAGGTGCACACTGACTACAGATACACAACACAGGTACACACTGACTACAGGTACACAACACAGGTGCACACTGACTACAGATACACAACACAGGTGCACACTGACTACAGATACAAAATGATCACAGGTACACACTGACTACAGGTACACAACACAGGTACATACTGACTACAGGTACACAACACAGGTACATACTGACTACAGATACACAACACAGGTACATACTGACTACAGGTACACACTGACTACAGGTACACACTGACTACAGGGTTCCGTTCTAGGACCAGTTTTATTTTCGCTGTACATGTTGCCATTTTCAAAAAACATTACATTTTGTTTTACTGCTTTGCTGATGATGTTCAAATCTATTTGCCTTTGAATGAAAATTCTGATTCCGTCCAAGCACTGCAGAAATTTCTCGACAATGTAAAAGACTGGATTTCTATCCATTTTTTAAACTTGAATGAAAAGAAAACAGAAATTGTGTTGTTTGGTGAACCTGATCTGTCTGTTTTCAATGGTGTGTGTAGCCTGTCTTCTTACTGCTGCCTATTTGCAAATAATCTTGGTGTGTATTTTGATGGTGCTTTTAAAATGGACAAACAAATAAGTTCAGTTGTCTAAGCCAGCTTCTTCCAGCTGAGACATTTGACCAAAGTTAAACGCTATCTTCCACCAAATGACCTTGAGAAGGTTGTCCACGCCCTCATATCCACACGGCTGGACTATTGTAACTCTCTGTACTATGGCCTTGACCAGTCCTCAGTTCACAGACTGTAGCTGGTACAGAATGCAGCAGCTGGGATGCTGACTGGCACCAGACGACACAAGCACATCACTCCTGTACTGTCGTCTCACCCATGAGCACACATAGGTATGGGCCACGTAACCAGACAACCCCCCCATCGTCCCCATCACCACCACCACCATCATCACTGTAGTTGTAATGTTAAGTGCTTACACATTCATTTTTATACAAACAAAATATCTTCTTTTTATACATATATATTTAAATTGCAGAATATTTGAAAAACATGTGAATAATAAAAAATAGGTTTAAAACAGTTCCTTCCCTTGGCATGACCACCACCAGTAAAATAAGGCTGAGATTATAGACTAATGGTGAGAGGCCTCATCTATCAGTTTAAATCATTGTGCCCATGAGAGGTGGGGTTAGGTCTTACTGGTGCTTATACTCTCTATCTGACCTTCACGTGTCAATAATAATAACAAGGATGTAACACAAACAAGTGTTAACAAACAAGTAAACAATACCACAACCCTCAGAAAACACACGCACACACATGAAAAAAGCAGAGGAAGCACAATCTGAGGAGTGGTCTGAATCAGAAACAGAGAGCCTCTTAAAGCAGGAGACGACTCTGAACCATGAGGAGAGAGGAAGCCGAGGCTCCAAACCTCCACCTGCATGGTCAAACCCATGAGATATTTTAATTATTGATTATACCTGAGAATTAGGTGACCACGCCCCTTTTTGAAAAAAAGTTATTCAAAATTAATATTCATATTTAATCATAAAAAATATAAAAAAGATATTTCTTCTGAAAACAAAAGTTGTAGTAGTTAGATATGGCAGTTATTGATGATACCTGAGAATTTGGTGACCACGCCCCTTTTTGAAAAAAAGTTATTCAAAATTCATATTCATATTTAATTATAAAAAATATAAAAAAGATATTTCTGCTGAAAACAAAAGTTTTAGTAGTTAGATATGGCAGTTATTGATGATACCTGAGAATTTGGTGACCACGCCCCTTTTTGAAAAAAAGTTATTCAAAATTCATATTAATATTAAATCCTATTTATTCATAAAAAATACAAAAAAGAAACAAATGCTGAAAACAAAGGTTGTAGTAGTTAGATATGGTAGCTATTTATAGTATGTGAGAGTTTAGTGCGTGTACTTGGCTTAAAATAAAAACTATTGTTCGTTTACACAGCTGGTATTGGCATTTGTTGACGCTCCCTAAGTGCTTTTCCCGGCACTTGCGGCGCATTGGATTCAATGGATTTCTCTGCATTAAAACAGCGCATTGGATTAGAAAAATCGGTGTTGTAGTAGTTAGCCCATGTAGAGGTGATCATTTTGGCACAATTACTTTCGTTTAACAACGTAGCTTTCGTAAGATATTCACCGCGGAAGTCCGAATCTGTGAATATCAAGCTAACTTTACCGAACTGAATATCAAGCTAACTTTACCGAACTCATCGCTCGCTCAACACAAATAAAACACCGTACCATTGTATATATTTACGATAACTAAACGACTGCGTTTTGCCGCAACTAAAAGCAAAAGTGCAGCTGTAGAGAAACTACTAGGTTACGTACCTTCAAACGTCTTCTTTTGACAGTTTGCGCGATGGCATCTTCCGCTGAATACCGCTGTAAAGTCTCCCAGACGCGTCGGTATTTCTTGTGGGTGTTCTCTCTGGCTGTCGCCAGTCGTCTTCTACTGTCTTCTTTAAATTTGTGGCTAAGGTAGACCCACAACGCAATGCATAAAAAGAAGAGCTGCTCTGCCTCATCCATTGCGCTTGTTGTGCGCACCTCCAGAGGTAACCGCCCCTTAGGTAACACGTTGCCACAGATACACAGGGCCGATGGAAACGCTCTCAAACCGAGTCGAGTTGAGCCGAGTCGAGTCGAGCCGAGTAGAGTCGGGTCCGTGGAAACGGCCTAAATTGGCTTCCTGTTGCTTTTAGAATTAAGTTTAAAATTGCATTGTTAGTATTTAAATCACTGCACGCCCTGGCTCCATCATATCTCACTGATATTCTTACTTTGCACACTCCGGGAAGAGCACTGAGGTCCTCTGACCAGCTTTTTCTGCACTGTCCCAGGTCTAGACTAAAGACCAGAGGGGACCAGTCCCAGGTCTAGACTAAAGACCAGAGGGAACCAGTCCCAGGTCTAGACTAAAGACCAGAGGAGACTGAGCCTTTGCATGGCAGGGCCCAAACTCTCTCCCTTATTGTATCAGAGCTGCCCCCTCTGTAGAGAGCTAAAGACACATTTCTTTGCTTTGGCTTTTAAACACAAGCAATATTGAAACATTTATGATAGTGTCCTCCTCTCCTGGCCATATGTTTTAATGCCTTTGTTGTGCATGGGTTCATTCCTGACCCCATGATGACAGTTCTCCTAGTGCCTGTAATAAAGGACAAAGCTGGAAAAGTGGGCAGCTCAGATAATTATAGACCCATTACCCTGGCCAACATTCTGTCTAAAGTTGTAGAATATATATTTTTGAACAGACTTGTTAAATGTATCACTGATACAGACAATCAATTTGGTTTTAAAGCAAATCATGGAACTGATAGGTGTATTTTTTCACTGAAAGAAGTATTATGTAACTACAGAAGTAAAAATTCCACTGTTTTTACATGTTTTTTAGATGCCTCTAAGGCTTTTGATTGTGTGAATCACAGAAAATTGTTTAAGAAATTGAGTCAAGCAGCTGTGCCAAAATATCTCATTCGATATACAAATACAAATGTGTGTCGGAACCATTTCAGACTTGTAATGGTATGAGACAGGGAAGCCTGTTGTCCCCTGTGCTCTTTAATTTCTATATGTTTGATTGTATATGTCTAAGGCTTTTGATTGTGTGAATCACAGAAAATTGTTTAAGAAATTGAGTCAAGCAGCTGTGCCAAAATATCTCATTCGATATACAAATACAAATGTGTGTCGGAACCATTTCAGACTTGTAATGGTATGAGACAGGGAAGCCTGTTGTCCCCTGTGCTCTTTCATTTCTATATGTTTGACCTGTCCAGGCAGCTGAATATGTGCAAAACTGGCTGCATGGTTGGTGGTGCTTTAATTAATCACTAAATGTATGCGGACGACCTGATCACTGAGGTTTCCTGACTTTGTGTGTGTGATATTGTCAAGTACCTCGGTCACATCATAAGTGACCGTTTGACCGATGAGGAGGACATGTACCGTCAGTGCCAGATGTTATATGCACAAGCGAACACTCTGTCTCGGAAATTCTCCGCCTGCTCTGTACAGGTGAAATTAGCTCTGTTTCGAGCTTACTGCTCACCTCTGTACACAGCTCATCTGTGGGTCAATTACAAAAAGTCCAGCTTCCATAAACTAACAGTTGCTTACAACAATGCGTTGAGAATATTATTAAAAAGGCCCAGATGGACAAGAGCCAGTGAACTTTTTGTGTCAAATAGAGTAAACACTTTGCAAGCAGTCCTGAGAAATTTGATGTTTAAGTTTATATGTCGTCTGAATGATTCTAAAACTGCTGTGATTATTTTATTGTCCAGTGTTGTATGCAGCAAGGTACGTTACACGTCGCTGCTTTGGAAACACTGGTATGACTTCCTCTTGAAAGTTTAGAGGTTTTTATTGTCTGTTGTTTATTTTATTTTGTTCTTGTCTTGTGATCTGGATCTCGAATCTGCAATAAAGTTATCTATCTATCTATCTATCATTTATTTTTATGCTGTATCTTATTTGTGTGTTGTATTTTGTAATGTCTGGTAAGCACTTTGTGACAGTCCTGTCTGTTTTTTAAAATGTGCTATATAAAAAACGTGACCTTGACTACAGATACACAACACAGGTACATAGTGACTACAGGTACACACTGACTACAGGTACACAAGTATGGGTGTGGCAATAAATCGATATATCGCAATACTTTCTCCCACGATTCGATTATTGATATGCATTTGCCAAGTATCGATATCGATTTTCAGATAGAACACACATTGACTACAGGTACACACTGACCACAGGTACACAACACAGGTACACACTGACCACAGGTACACAACACAGGTACACACTGACTACAGATACACAACACAGGTACACACTACAGGTACACTGTTATGTGGAGCTGCCACTCAGACCTGTTCCAGTTCCAGGCTCCACTTCCAGGGTTTCCAGCCTGCTTCATGTTTCCTGCTGGGAGCCGGTAAGCCACAGACTCCACCCTCTCTCTGTCCTGGCAGCAGCAGCTCACCCCCACACCTGCCTTCACCCTCTCTCTGTCCTGGCAACAGCAGCTCACCCCCACACCTGCCTTCACCCTCTCTCTGTCCTGGCAGCAGCAGCTCACCCCCACACCTGCCTTCACCCTCTCTCTGTCCTGGCAGCAGCAGCAGCTCACCCCCACACCTGCCTTCACCCTCTCTCTGTCCTGGCAGCAGCAGCAGCTCACCCCCACACCTGCCTTCACCCTCTCTCTGTCCTGGCAGCAGCAGCAGCTCACCCCCACACCTATCTTCACCTTTTGGTTTTCTTTGTGTCATTTCCCTAGACTTTTGTTTCTGTTAATAAAATTATCTTAACTTTTAGTTGCCTGTTGTCCTTTATGTTGCACCTGTAGAGCCAGGGTGTAACATACACACTGACTACAGGTACACACTGTGACCACAGGTACACACTGACCACAGGTACACACTGACTACAGGTACACACTGACCACAGGTACACACTGACCACAAGTACACACTGAGGACCACAGGTACACACACACACACACACACACACACACACACACACACAGACCTATCCGGGTCAGAGACTTGTTGAGGACTGGGTTCAGAGAGGGGTCCAGCTCCTCCTGGACGTTCTGCAGGAGGACAGGGTTCCCAAACTGGATGGCGTTCTCCAGGATCCGAAGATAATCTGGCATCTGGAAGTCTATGATCTTCAAGCCCTGAGGAAAGACCATCAGAGCCTCAACCCTGCAGCCAGTATGTTATTGTCCTGTTACAGCGCTCCCTAGAGTGCAGCGAGGACACAGCTCCACCCAGGAGAAGCTTGCATTCCTGCTTCTGTGTGTTTTTGTGATTAGGTCTCATGGATCTATTTGACCATGGATCTATAATAATATCTGTTATAGTATTACCATGGATCTATAATAACATCTGTTATAGTATTACCATGGATCTATAATAATATGTATCTGTTATAGTATTACCATGGATCTATAATAATATCTGTTATAGTATTACCATGGATCTATAAAAATATCTGTTATAGTATTACCATGGATCTATAATAATATCTGTTATAGTATTACCATGGATCTATAATAATATGTATCTGTTATAGTATTACAATGGATCTATAATAATATCTGTTATAGTGTTACCATGGATCTATAATAATATCTGTTATAGTATTACCATGGATCTATAATAATATCTGTTATAGTGTTACCATGGATCTATAATAATATCTGTTATAGTGTTACCATGGATCTAATAATATCTGTTATAGTATTACCATGGATTTAATAATATCTGTTATAGTGTTACCATGGATCTATAAAAATATCTATTATAGTATTACCATGGATCTATAATAATATCTGAATAGAGTATTACTATGGATCTATAAATAATCACTCCTTAAATAATCCTTAAACAAACACAGTGGTCTCCTTTGTTTCATCTGCTGCTGGTCCAGAGTCACATTAAAGTCACATTAAAGTCAAGATCCTGACGACCAGAGGGGGCATGGTCACTCCACCTGTCATACCCTGTGTATTTCTACCCTGTGTATTCATACCCTGTGTATTTACACCTTGTGTATTCATACCCTGTTCATTTATACCCTGTGTATTTCTACCCTGTGTATTTATAACCTGTGTATTCATACCGTGTGTGTATACAGGTGCAGTTTATAGCTGAAGGTGTGAGAACAGAGAGTAAAGCACCTGTACCTTTTTGATCTCCATGTTCTTGATCCACTTCAGAGCCTGACCTTGAGGATCCACCATGAGAGGCCACCTTCACAACACATAATGAGTACTGTATACTGTGTGTGTGTGTGTGTGTGTGTGCACTTGTTTTCAACTCCTAGTGGGTTCCATAACCTGAGATTCCACTCACGTCATGGGGACTGGTTTTACGTGGTGGGGCCCGAAAACCGGACCCCACTGGTCCAAGCTTAATAATCAATGGGTAATGCTTTTCTAACGGTCCTTATGCAGTCTCTGTAAAAATATGGAAAGGACCCCTGGAGGTTTACTTTTCCTGAAAAAAGTGTGTTATGTGTCGGAACCCTGGTGGTGGGTTGCGGGATATCAGGGAGGGGCACACTGGGGCAATTTCAGTCCAGCAGGCTGGAGCCAATCATGGAGCAGCACAACAGAGGAAGTCAGGTGAAAAGGTGCAAGTGTGTGGTTCATTAGGCTGCAAGACATCATGGAGGAGCACACTGAAGCGCACGCTTACAACCCACTGGTAAGTGCTGACTACAAGTCATGACTTCAAATTGTTATATAGAATTATTACAAATTATTTGTTGTTTGTGCAGCTTAGTCAAGAGTCCCTAATTGATGAAGTCGACTCAGATTCTGACGATTTAACTGTCAAGAAGAAACCTGTAAAAAAGTATGGAAAAAGAAAAATCAAAAACACTTTTCTTCAAGACTCGGAAAGTGACGAACCAAAGGCAAATAAGATTGTTATCATGCAGCTGCAAAAGAAGAAAAATGGGGGCAGGGTTTACAGCAAGAGACACTTCTGCCTCTACTGTTCAATGTCCTGCCACAAAATGTCCCGTCATTTGACTAGAAAACATGGAAATGAAAGTGACGTAGCCAGAGCATTGGCTCTACCTGTGAAGTCTAAAGCACGTAAACTTCAGTTTGATTTGATCAGGAATAGTGGAAACCGTGAGCACAATTTTGAGGTTTTAAAGGCCGGCATTGGAACTTTAGTCCCAGCTAAACAGCCAAATTCCCCAGTTAAATCCAGTGAGTTTTTGCACTGTATAGACTGTGGGGCATTGCTTAAGCGAAAGTCGCTGTGGAGGCATGTGGCCAGGTGCCGGCTTTCACAGAAAGATGCCCAGGCTAAACCAGGTAGAAGTAGGGTCCAGTCCCTCTGCTCCCTAGCCCAGCCTGTACCGGAGGGCATCAGCAAAAAGCTGTGGTCTTTAATTTCGGCAATGCATCAGGATGAGGTCACGGGTGTTGTCAAAGCAGAAAAGGGGATTCTGAGACTCGGAGAGCACCTGTACTTAAAACACGGGCATGATAAGACTAAGCATGATTACATTAGGCAGAAAATGAGAGAAGTCGGTAGGTTAATTAACGAAGCAAAAACCGCAGGGAAACTGAAAACAATTAAGGATTTCTTTATTCCTTCCAACTTTAACCATGTGATTGATGCAGTCAGGTCTGTGGCTGGATATGATGAGGAAACAAATCAATACAAGACTCCATCCTTGGCCCTCAAACTCGGCCATAGCCTCAGAAAGCTAGCAGATATTCTTGAATGTGACTCAAAAATGGAGCATTGTGTTGATGAACTATTTATTAAAAACCTCCAACGAAGCCGGCTGCTTTTTGAGAAGAGGTGGGACGTCTGTGTTTCTTCTGCTGCCCTACAGACCCTCCGGCAAGCCAAGTGGAACACTCCGGACCTGCTCCCTCTGACTGAGGACGTTAGAGCCATGCATGCACATATTGAGGTATGTCGACCTGAATATGTGCAAACCCTAATAAGTGAGCCAACGTCTAAGCATTGGTCTAAACTGGCAGTTTTGACTCTTTGTGAGGTCATCATTTTCAATCGAAGAAGGGAAGGTGAGGTTTCAAAGATGCCACTGACAGCCTTTACCTTAAGAAGTAAGACTGGGATCCATTCTGACATTGCTCTGGGACTGTCCCAACTTGAGAAAAAGCTGTGTCAGCATTTTCAACGCATTGAAATTAAAGGGAAAATAAGTCGGAAAGTGCCGGTTCTTTTGACTCCTGAAATGATTGCTTCGATGGAGGTGCTGGTGGAGAACAGAAGGGCCTGTTCCATCTCTGACCATAACCCATACTTCTTTTCCCGCCCGGGCGCAGACACCCACATCAGGGGATCAGACTCCCTACGCCAGGTAGCCAAAGAATGTGGTGCGGTGCATCCAGAGATGCTATCCTCAACCAAACTTAGAAAGCACATAGCTACTATGTCTACAGTTCTCAATATGAAAGAGAATGAGATGGACATACTTGCCAACTTCCTCGGCCATGACATTCGCATCCACAGGCAATATTACAGACTACCAGAGGGGACACTGGAGCTGGCCAAAATCAGCAAAGTGTTGATGGCCATGGAGCAGGGAAGAGTGACGGAATTCGAAGGAAAGAGCCTCGACCAGATACAAATTGAGCCTGAAGGTAATTCTTGATATTATTAAAATATGTATGATTTTTTTCCCCTAAAGGCCACTTGTATTTTTATTTTCTGTGCGACAGGGAGAGCAGTAGAGATCCTCTCACAAACGGACGGGCTAAAAGAAACTTCAAGCGGAGAACCTTCAACCATTCATCCAGATGCACCCCATGGTAGTGGCAGTGCCCCTTCTGGTAAGTGTACCAGGTGGGGGATTACAGCCAGGCTGCTTGGTCCTAACCCTGGGAGTGTATATTGCTAATATATTTTTATTTCTCTTCCTAGAACGTGTAAGAAAGCCATGGTCTGCATCTGAGGTGAAGGCTGTGGAGAAGACCATGACACCTTTCATACAGACTGGAAAGGTCCCTGGGAAGTCTCACTGCCTGGCCTGCATTAATGCCTCACCAGATGACCTTAGACATCGGACATGGAGTGGCATTAAATTCTATGTCAAAAATAGAATCACTGCAATTCGAAAACAAAATCTAAAATAAAATTCCTTTAAAATAGTTGTTTGGTTTCTATTGACTGTTTTGTATTACTTAAAGTAGTCCCAGTAAAAAAAGATTATGTCTATGGGTCCCATTCTGAACGGCCCTGTCAAAGGGACCCACCAGGTAACAAAAACGTGTATGTGTGTGTGTGTGTGTGTGTGTGTATGTATGTATGTATGTATGTATGTATGTATGTATGTATGTATGTATGTATGTATGTATGTATGTATGTATGTATGTATGTATGTATGTATGTATATATATGCAGTGCCTTGCGAAAGTATTCGGCCCCGTTGAACCTTTCAACATTTCGCTATATTTCAGGCTTCAAACATAAAGATATTAAAAAAATATTTTTTGTCATGAATCAACAACAAGTGGGACACAATTGTGAAGTGGAATGAAATTTGTTGGATAATTTAAACTTTTTTAACAAATAAAAAACTGAAAAGTGGGGCGTGCAATATTATTCGGCCCCTTTACTTTCAGTGCAGCAAACTCAGTCCAGAAGTTCAGTGAGGATCTTTGAATGATCCAATGTTGTCCTAAATGACTGATGATGATAAATAGAATGCACCTGTGTGTAATCAAGTCTCCGTATAAATGCACCTGCTCTTTGATAGTCTCAGGGTTCTGTTTAAAGCGCAGAGAGAACCATGAAGACAAAGGAACACACCAGGCAGGTCCGAGATACTGTTGTGGAGAAGTTTAAAGCCGGATTTGGATACAAAAAGATTTCCCAAGCTTTAAACATCTCAAGGAGCACTGTGCAAGCAATTATATTGAAATGGAAGGAGTATCAGACCACTGCAAATCTACCAAGACCCGGCCGTCTCTCCAAACTTTCATCTCAAACAAGGAGAAGACTGATCAGAGATGCAGCCAAGAGGCCCATGATCACTCTGGATGAACTGCAGATAACTATATATATATCGAGATCCGATAACAGGGCTCTGTTGGAATGCTACTACTCGAGTAACACTGGCCAAAGAGGTTACATGCAGAGAATGTGGGCTGAATGGTTACTTCGAAACCCACAGTCACAGTTGACCCCGAAACAACTGGTAGCTCAATGCTCCAACATCCACAAACGGCAACTGCTATCACAGCTTGAGATTGATGAGGTACAACACATGTATGATGCCACAATTGCCGAGGTTAGAGGGGAGATCCCACCAACTGCAACTCCCCAACCAGATATTGGGTACATAGCCCCAATGGAACCGATAACGCTGAACAAGGCAGCGACTGACCTGAAAGCTAAGATCATGGCTAGAATGGGCACAGGGCAAAGACACCGGTTACAGCGGTTGTGTGAAGTACCACCTAAGGATCTCATAGAAAGCGTGAATGCAGCAGTGAGGGCAATACCTACCACCACAATCACTGAACCCAATGAGCTGATATACACTTCAGCAGCAGTGATCGTAGAGATGCTTGGCTATAAGAGCAACCATGGGAGCCATGGACAATACCCACCATGGAAAAGACGGTTGGAGGCTAAGATCAAGGCGGCTCGGAGAGAAGTGAGTCAATTAACAGAGGCCCAGAGAGGTGCAATGAAAAGACCAGTACCCAGAAAGTACAGCCAGATGACCATACCTGAAGCACTCGAAACTGCCAAAGAAAGGCTCCAAGCCCTGGCCAGCCGCCAACAGAGGTACACTAAAGAGAATGAAGCCAGAAGGGTGAACAGGCTGTTCGCAACACAACCTGCGAAGGTGTACGCTCAGTGGCAGGGTAACAACAGGGGAGCAGATCCACCGAGGCTGGAAACTGAACAGTTCTGGAAGAACATATGGGAGAAGGATGCAGCACATAACAGAAGTGCACAATGGCTGGTGTCCCTGAGAGAGGAGCACAGCCACCTCCCAGAACAGAACTCAGTTACCATCACAGAGGCAGACATCCGAGAAAGAGTCTCAGGTATGAAAAACTGGACAGCACCTGGCCCTGATATGGTCCATGCCTACTGGCTAAGGACACTCACATCACTCCATGAGCGCCTAGCAGCACAAATGAACCAGCTGCTGAGAGATGGGACTCACCCAGAATGGCTAACCGAAGGGCGAGCGGTCCTGATCATGAAGGACCCTGTCAAGGGTGCAGTCCCCTCCAACT